TTTTTTTCTGTAGATATTAAGTTCAAGAAGTTTATAGTCACAATGTACAGTACTCAGAGCATCCCGTCGTATTTTTCTTGTGCCAAGTCAATATTTTACCGACGTTTCTGTACACTCTTACGTTTTGATACTTGTGCATTGACGTTTATACGATGATCGTTAAGATTTGTTTTTATTTATGATCGCTACTATAACTATTTCCGATGCGTTTTGATATTTTATAGAATTATTCCGTAGAACATTACTAATGAAATATAAAGGTTCATCGGTCAGGCTCTTAAACATCACAAGAGGATTTATATGTGTACTTGATTTTTGCTCTGGGAAAATTTGAGTAGATCAGGGATGAGCAAACATTTTTAGTCGCATCTCCTGTAGAGCTATTTAATATTCGCGCTCTCTTCTCCGACTCGTACGAAGAAACTGTTTTATTGTTAGTAAGAATATAAAAACAGAAAAGACAAATTTTTCCACAAATAAACAGTAAAACCTGAAAAACAAATACAAACAAACAGGAAAAAAAATGCTTAAAATAAATAAATGTATGCATTTTTATTGAAAATAGAACATTTTCCGTGTTCCATAAGCATTTTTTTTTTGCGTCTCCTCTTTTTGATTTTTTAGTAATAACAGATCAAAGCGAATCGTTGAAAATTGTAATAATTTTAAATTTAATTTTTATTATGTAAAAAAATAATAATAATGCGGTGTTATTTATTTATTAATTTTACGAAAAAGTTCGACTTATCAGAATCGAATCGACTTACTTCAAATAGGAAAAATATGGTGTTTTGAGTGGTAAGGAATATCGCAATTAATAGACTTGGCTGAATATTAGGTAACTCGTCGAAATCTCTTGATTGGTACTCTTCTTGCCTAACTTGGATAACACTTGTTCGACAATAATTTGTTAGTTAAATGAGTTACGTATCATCTGATAAAATATTAACACTATTAACTTTAATGAGTTGCTGCGTAAGCACGAAACATATGAGAACATTGTTGATTCTCTCACACCTAAAAATTGACGAAATTCGACACTCTCCTAATCATGAACGAATTATTTATAATAAATTATTTCGTAATCAACAATAGTTTAATCCAGGCATAAGATACGAAGTTCGAAAAATATTTCATATAATATGGAAAAACCTTTCTTTTTTGAATATCTTTCATCTTTGCGTGTAAAACGGAATTCTGAAAATATAATTCTTATATAATGTACAATTTCAGTTATAATCCTTTCGAAAATTAACAAATCGTGGAACAAAATTTAATCGTTACATTTAATTTTTTTATTGTTATATCTTGTTACCACAAAAGCAGCGAATAAAAAATGGAAAAAGAAAGATTTAAACGGCATACACAAATTCAAACGATTATGGACGATGAATATTTCACTGACAACAAAAGCTAGGAACATCAAGAAATTGTCATTCCATTTCTACCAAAATTGAAAAAAAGCGAGGGAACATTAATGCTTTTAAACTGTAGATTACTTAGTTAAAATATAAATCAAGAACAAATTCATTAATGCTGGTCCAAATGAAATTATAGTGTTCTCTTGAAGCGTGATCTGCAAACGAACACTTGTATTTTTGACATTCGATGCGTGCATACAACGAGTTAGGAAAATAATTATGCTTAATAAAATCCAGGGAAGTAGGTAAGAAAGACAACGAAAAGGAGGGGAATGGAACTAGGGGATGTCTTTGCAAGAAGTGCCAGATATTTCTAAGAATGAAATAAAATGGAGCCTTTGATAATACTTTGACTAAAAGGCAGATTTGTCTGGAAGAAACGTAATAACATCAAGTTTTTTTTTTTAAATAAAAGTTTACAGTTATTAAGCTTGCATAGATAAGTTTATAGTTAAAAAATCGGATTGAAATTCAAATAACAGACTATAACTTTACAGAATTAGAAATGTATTAACATTAAACGTAGGCTATAGAAAAATTAATATTCTTATAGGATGAATATGTATGGTTATCGCTTTAATATGCCACTATTTTCAATATAATTAACCGCGATTCATTGTTCATAATATTTTTAAAATATATTCTTATGCTTAATTTATATTTTTTATAAATGTTAAGCAAATATAACAAAGAAGTTGAACACTCTTCATTAAAAATCTTTTCGAGTGATAAATGTAGTGTGAATTTTTATGTTTATAATTAACAATTAAAAAATTACGTTTTAGTATTGGAAAATTTTAACTATTCGACTATTGTTCTTGATATTATTTCTTTGGTAATCCAAGACGAGTAAAACAGAAAAATAAATATTCTGTAGAGATAATTGTTTCGTCTTTATCGTTGTCTATCAAATCAACTATTATTATATTTTATTTATAATAGTAGAAGTAAAATTAAATAATACGCTTAAAATTTTGATATTTTGAGAGTTTTAGGAAAGCAAATATCAATTAAAGAACTTTCAATTGATTTGGAACAATTATTTCAAGAGATAACATTGATTTTTAACACTTACTAATCCAGTAGAGTGTAAATTTTCCAGTCAATCAGCTTTGCAAATTTTTAAGTAGAATAGTTTTAACTTAATTTAGAAAAGTACAGTCATATGTAAAATCTGTTATAGCTGTTTCTATTAAAAAAAGCGTCCTTGATTTTTAGCAAACTCAAAGCTAAAGAAATTAAATTTAAGTTATACTGCATCAGTTTTTTGGGAAATTTTAAAGTGTTATTTTATTACTATTGATGGCAAAGAAATATATGAAAAATATTTTATGGAAAAGATATTACGATACGATTTGTACGTTTACAATAAATTTATATATTGCATTATGCAATACAAAGATTTGTTACAGCTCAGTTAAAATGAGTCATCTCCAGCGTCATAATCGATATTTGATTTTATAGAGATTCTTTTGCAGTTGTATCCTTTCCGCAGTAAATCAACAGAACACGAGTCTATAACTTAAAGTATATTTATATTATAATTTTTAAATTTAATAAAAAATTGGTGTTATTTAAAACAATCTTTGCTACCCTTTATACCAGCGACTAGAACCATTTTTTGCATTTATTACTATATTTTCTAACATTTTAAAATCGTATATATTATAGAGAAATCTTTCAACACAATGTAATTTAGTAAAGAAAGTTCTTTCGGCAAATATATGAAAAGTAAAGGAAGCTTTTGTGGGTTACTGGATTGATCGATACGTGTTAAGTATTTTACATCACTGAGTCGACACCGCAAGTTAGGTCAGTCGGTTATCGAGCATGGCGTTTAACTGTATTTAAATTAGCAAAATATTTCGTGTTTATCGCAATGACGTAGGTTGGACTATTGTTTTTAATGAAAATTAAAAATGAACGTGTTATTAGAATTCAGTTTGCGATTATCGGTATTGACAGAGAAGGCTCATAAAATCATCAGTTATCGTTGTCAAAGCGATTCGGGCAACGTAAACACGAAAGAACGATCCTAATCAAACCAATACATAAGTACGGGAGTCGACAACAAAATTAATTGATGGATCAACCCCCGCCGAGTGTAGAAGACGTAACACGAATTCCACCCGGATTTGAAGTTAACGTGATCTGTTAGTTAAAACAGTTTGTTCGTCAGATTAAGAACGCTTGGATGGTCTGTGTAGAGATCAGTGAAGCGACTCTTGACTTTACTAACACAATGATTTGTATCCGTTCTTCGTTTGTCGGAGCGGTAATTACAGACTCACTGACTGCCCCTCACCGCCTTTGTTCTCCTTGGTATACTCCATAAATAATTCATGGGCATATATAATAGTCCATCCCAAGTTGACTTGGGTTAATATGTGTGTCGTCTACCGCGTTTCTGTTAATGATATTCGATTGAGATTTCAGTTAGAGACAAAAGAAGGTTATAATGACAAGACTGTACATATTTACAATATTTTCCCCCTTCAATCGCTGTTTTTTTTATTGCGAGAGGTTTCCTTCCATCTATTACCGATATAGAACAATGTGTAATCTAACTTAGATCATGATGGATGTGGAGTGCAGGTGTGGATTTTACTAGTGGCAACGGTCATATTTCTTCTATTCACCTGACTTTTTTTCGACTAGTTTCGATCTTAGAACCAAATAGGTAAACGTTAATTTAAAAATCAAAATATTAACGTGATGAACTTGCAGCGGAATCCTATAATTGAAACTCATTTAAAAAGATCTCATTCTTTGTAAATAATTATCTATTTTTCTTTAAAAAACATAATAAGGCTTTTCATAATCTAACCAGTAATAAGAATCGGGGGAAAATGATAAGAATGGATCATAAATACACAATTATAATTATGCGTATTCATTAGGGTATGCGAGTCTGGCTAGCTAAGACGTTGAAGAATATTTATCACCCGCATATTATTATAGGTAAGACTGAAAAGAAACCATTATATAAAGTATACAGAACAAGTAGTCGAACTTATAAAGGGAAAAAAACTCAATCAACTTTTAATAACAGTGAGAAAGGAATGTTAGACGTATGGCTCGACTGAAAAAGAACAAGAATCGCATGAACAGGACCATTAGGACGAAGTTTCTATGATTGGGCGGTGTTACGATGTAACGCTGTAGTGAATAAACTGTCACTGTCGTTATCTCGTCCCTTATACGGAGCAATGTGACCACTTAATGTTACATCGAAATATAATGACAGACATTAACTGGCCTCCTGGCATCTGTATTCCCATTAGTTCACTGCTTGACTCCGTTCGATGATCTAATGAAAGGTTAATAATGACGTCACACGCAGAGGCAGATTAAACTAGAAAAGTGTGCTTTAGTACGTATATGATGAAACGAGGAGAATTTTAAAATATTCTGACTTGCCCTAGCTTATCTTTCAATAAGAGGGGGACTCTGACGTGGACAAAAACTCACTTGACATTATTCGGATAAAATTGTTTAAAACTCCCTTAGCAAACTTCTTAGTGTTTTAAAAAATTTAAGTCAAATTTATATTCGTAAGAAAGCTTTACGTATATTTAGGTACATGAAATATCTTTATCCGTACGAATGTGAAAAAGAGAAATTAAGCACACCAGAAGAACTGCAGTCAGCCATTGATGGAAACAGGAGGGAGAGTAGGCGGTCGAATTATGGCCCTTATCCAGAAATGGTTAGTATGCCGAGAAATTCTCATCATCTCTCACCTCTGAGTTTGGTATCACGACAAGTCAACGGTCACAGTTCAACTCAGGGCATTAACTCTTCTGGTAAGTATTCTTTTATCAATCGAATAGTCGAAACCTGTCCTTATCTAAATTTACATATTTTCATTCAAATAAACGAATTTTAATGAATCGCTGTTATACAAAATATTGCGTTGTTTAGGTATTTGAAAAAAATAAATATTTTGACAATGCAAATTTATTCTTGATGGATTGAGTAAGCGTAAATCGTTAACAGCGTTATTATTAGAGTTATAATTTTATTATGATTTATTCGAGATAAAACTCTAAACTGGTGACGTTTATTAAGAATTGAATGATGTCCGCTGTTCGATAAAATAATTGTTGGCAATAGAAACGCAAACAGCTCCAAAGATAAACACTAATGAAATTAATTTTAGTTTTTGTTAATCTTGTACATCCGGTTATTTTGCAGTTGGTTAATGAAGTAATAAGACTTCTAGAATAAATGTTAATAATTGTCGAATTCGTCGCTTTTTTATTATTCTTACATTGAAGAACCGCGAGAAATTAACTTCATCTATAGTTAATATTTGTCTTAATTAAGTTCATGCGCTGTCTCAAAAATGGCTAGCATTGCCTTTTAAGCACGCATCAGTGAAGCCGGTGTCAGAAAACGATTCAGCCAACCATCTAAAAGAGCTCCATTAAGAACGAAGTTGTAACCGTATCACTCGTCACCATTCCAGATTTAACTGAATACAAACAGCTATCCATCGAGGCTAGGTAATAGATTGTCTAGCTGAAAGCAGTCGGGGGTATTCATCACATAGACAAGTGACAGTTGCTTAGTTTCAATGATAACTCGAATCTTTTGTTGGTGAAACTTTAATTATTGCCTCGCCTTCTGCTCCAGCGATAGATATTGTGACAAATCACTTTACAGACCTTTCACTGGACGTCAAACTGAGAGCGAAACAGCTATCCCTCCCTTTTATTCCCTCTTCCTCTCGTCATAAAATTAAATTTACTCACGTGACAGCTACCTGTGTCAGGTAAAATCAACGTAGCATAATCACTGTTGCTTGTGTATTTAACCTCGCGTGTCACTTACATTTGAACTCTGAACTTCTCCATGATTTATGATCTGAATGACATTGCTTCCGAAACTCCTCCTACTCGACTAGAAGATTCAGAAATCTCTAGACGTCTCCTAATTATATGGTTCTTTGATTGTGATTGCTCTCTTCGATAACTATTTTTTTGTTTTCTTTCTAAAGAATTGTCTTCCAATGGATTCTAAAATTAACTATGATTCGTTTGATTTATATGAGCTTTCGTGAGAGTTTTGTTTAGACTAGAGAAACATTAAGATATATAATAACCGGATTCTCTTAATTATAACCTATGCATTCCTTAATGGAATTCTTGCTGTGATTATATTTTGCGAAGAAATTATAAGTATTTATGCATATAGAATTATCATTTTGCCTAAAATTATTAAGTAAGAACATTCAAACTTTTATGACTTTTTAACGGAAAAATTCTTAGTAAAATGCATTTGCGATAATTTCAGGTGAAGAAGACAATTGCAGCATCCCTTCGACACCTACCCATATAACGATGCCTCAGCAAGAAGCACTAAATTTAGAGGTGCCGAGGAACATAGATCAGAGTAGTAAATCAATAGACACAACATCGAGGAAATCTGTAGAAGAAAGTTCTCCTCCCCCTAAACGTTTTTTGTCAGACGAAGAGCGGCTTCTCAATCAAGCCGGTGTACCCAGCGCTCATATAAAAATTTCCAGTCGAGGCAAGTTCATTTGTTATTATTTAGCCAAAAGTTAAGTCTATTTAATTCAGTATTCTGATTATTTGTTCACGTTTCAGGCGACGGCCGATCTCAAATAGATAGTTCTTTGGTGGTCAGTATGGAAATCAATGGCATTATGTATCAAGGTGTATTGTTTGCTCAGTCCCACAGAAATCGCATAGCGTGAACTGTCCAGTGTTTCTACAATATACACCACTAGTGCCTTGTCTCCGTAGGAGACCGTAAAGAGCCAAGCTGACAAGAACAAAGTCCTTCTCAAGCCATCAAATACTGTAAATTTACATCATGCAGGCAATCAATAGGATCTCAAGATCTGATGGACAATGTGTTAAAAACATGGAACTGCTCTTTAAAAGTTATATGCTAATATGATATATCAGGATGGTGTTCTAAATATTTGTGTCAATTGGAATTGTTGAAATGCTTGAAACGCACGAGCTTAACCTTCAAGGCTCTTCAGATTACATCTGAAGTTAAGTAGAGGACATCGGCAAGAACGAAAACAGAGACTACGCCACGTCTTCTATTTTAAAAACTCCATCAGCTTTTAAGACCAGTATTCAATTTTATTTAGCTCAAAATCTTAATATTATTTTAACAAAAAAAATAATTCATCGAACGATTGTTGAGAATTTTTTCTCTTATCTCTTTTAATATTTGCAACTAACCTCCAGACTAACTTTACCCACCGTTGCAACTAATTTTAAAATTGTGTTCAAACTTACATTCCTGCAAGAACCAATATGGTTGATAAAAAATGGATTTTAACGAGGATTTTTCATCGTATTTTCCGAACGAATTCGAATGAAAGCAAATTCAATACAACAAAGTTGGCATCTGTCCTTCATAATCTACTGGTATTATCGATGATCTTTTGTAGATACATAACTGTCATAGTATTACAGTCTATATACCAGTAGTAACTCAAACATTGTTTAAATATTTTTGCAGGTGAAGACGTCAGACTCTTGTACAGAATTATGGGATTTGCCTCTCATTATTTTAAAATATTGCTTTTCCTATTATTTTCATCGTGTTCAGACAAGTTTTGTTTGTTATATGTATGTATAATTTATGTTTATTATATACAACGTGGTAGCTGGCCATGTCAAGTGATATGTATCACGCATATATACATACACATACATGTAATTGGTGCAAGGTTGTGCAGAGTCTCAGGGAATAAGATGTCATGTCTGCACCATTTGTACAGCATTCGCGGGTTACTTAATGAAGAAACCATAGAATAAAGTCAATTAAATGAATGAAGAAACAACACAACGACAGAAATGTTTTAAGGAGTAACGTTTATTTTATAATCTACCACATAACTTTTTTTATTTCTTAACGGGAGCAAAATGTATTCAACCGAATATCAATTGTGCTACTTTTAAGATTTTATTTTGTTAATTGAAAATGTAAGTCATCAGTGATTTTTCATTATGTTCAGGGGTTTTTTTAATGGTCAAGACGGACATTTGTACCTTGCTCCATGTCCCTCGTCTAGTAGATAGTGCAGTTTGTCTGTGCAGCTTATAATTTCATGTATATAAGGGAGAACTGTCCATATTGACTGTGAAAGTTTTGTGTGCGTTTTCATTCTTTATTTCTGTGATTTCTCATAAAATCAATTTATTTGACGCTTTTGTATTGTTTCCATTAACGTTTTGAAACATTTATATACGATTGTCATATATATATATATAGGCTATATATAAACATACACATATACACATACATGTATGTAGTTTCCATACTTCTTAATTATTCATGAAGTTATAAATGTTTACGTCACACTGCGATCAATTATTAAATATCATATCCAAATGAATGACATCTCATCTAAATAATTTAAAACTCATTAAAAACCTCAGAGCGTTTATATCTTTAGTTTGATATATAATTTTGTATAAGTAGAAATATTTAAAACAATTTTTGGGCATAACACAAGTTAGACAAAGTTAAAGCTTGATGTGTGCGATATTTGATATACGTCTGCAATCAAATAGAACCACGCTAATAATTGCCAATTTATTCTCGACCAGACATTAGTCTTTTTAAAATTAGAAAACACTGAATAAAAAGCGAAAATTCATCCGTCAAATTACACTCTGATATGGAAAGCTCACCGAAAACAGTAAATTGGCGTACATTATCTTCCCATTAAGTCCCAGACTGGGAATAAAAACAACGGGATCAAATTTCGAGTGCTTGATAGATGCTTCCAACTATTACTCGACCTGTGGGAACTCATTACTGACTTCTAGTGACTTCAGAAATTTGATAAGACGCCATCATAATTTTAAATTGAAAAGAGTAAGAAGACAAAATTTTGATTGACAGAATATCCTGAACTAGTATCTTTCTTAACTCCTGCATCTTTGCACAAACTACCTTTTTAATTATGCTAATTTCTCAAAATTCATTTCGAGTCATTTGAGATTGATTACAAATTTTATGGAAAATTTCATTAGTTAAAAACAATTCTACTTGTAGATATTTAAGTAACATTTGATATTTAAGAAGTGAAAAACTGAATTTTTTCACTCCTTAAATGTAGAAAAATTCTTGCCAAATTTAATTTGTTTATCTAAAAATAACATCAAAATAATGATAAAAAAAATTTAACCACGTTAGAATAATCAGAACAGTTTGAAAGTTCACCAAATAACGAATATTTGCATATAACGTGGATTCTAAAGTGGACAATATAGAAAGTGGACAAGGTAAGAAAACAAAACCTATAATTCATTTATAAGAAACATATCAGTATAAAAATCTCATATGATTTTCCTAACATCGAATGCAAAATTAAGCATTAAAAGCATGTTATAAATTTAAATACATTAAGTTTCTGTAGTCTATATTTTTATTTCTTGTGTAATATTACCGTTAATGTAATGCAAATAATAATAATAATAATAATAAATAAATGGCACATCAAAACACATTAATATAATACGATAAGTGAAAAACGATAACGATTATTCCCATCCACATCATAAAATAATAAAGTAGGTTCTACGATTCGTAATATTAATTCCTACGTCAAATATATTCTTTAAGTGCAACAATGTAGCAAAGCCATACATCATTGTCGTTTTTATAAGTTTCTTATGACAGTGAATTGATCTTGATATGACATTCCTTTCTTGCACACCCACTTCGAACAACAGTCTGAGATACAGCTCTTCTTAACTTCTGGCGTTCGGGAACACCCAGTTTCATGTTGAGTTTTAATAGCTACATTATCCCGGGATGGGCAGAGATTTGTCATTATAATTTTCTTCTGTTGTCAATGGTACTTCCTAATTCTCCACCCTTAGCATTTATCATTTTTATCAATATTTCCTTAACCATAATCAAATGATTATATTGAAATCAAATTATGGCATTAAATCAAATCGACGTTCTTTAATGTAGATGAAAATACGAAAAAAAAAATCAAATACTTTGTTAGTTTCTAATTCCATTGACAAAGAAAAATTATTTATTATTATTAATTCGATTGGTATAATGGAATACTCATCGATTAATTCGAGAGTAATGAACAGACATCTTTCATTTATAATTATATACTTCGTATTTATTATAACTTTTCAACGTTACCTGTTGGCTTTAAATAACAAATTTGATGTAGAAATATTCGCTTAATCATTAGAGAATTTTCTCTTCTATTTAGAACATGGTCAATGGGCATTGAAACTACATCAGGATCTTGCCATCAAAAATAATATTTAACTGTGTCATCTGTCACAATGAATATTCATATATCGTCGAACATTGAAAAGGTTTTCACAATTATTTAAATAACATCATATCGATATTTGGCGTTAATTATTAGAAATTTTAAATATAAATTTATTGTTTTAAAATAATGTTTGTAAATACAGTAGTTATCTGTCGAAAAGAACGGGTTAAATATATGATAATTATGTGTCATATCTTATTTTTCTGCATTTATGTTTTGTCGATAATTACTTGATTTATAGACAAAACGTAAATGTGAAGAATTGATTTTTTTTTTTTTTTTAATAAGANGAAACCAAAGTTTGCAAATATTTATAGTCAATATAAAAACAATAACTTTAAGATTAAAATCTAAAAAAAAACATAAACAGAATATTTAGTATTTATTTTCTTAGCACAATGTTGCATATCACACAGGAATCTTTCAGGAATCATTTCCTGTGTGATATAATCTCAACAGCAACATTGTGCTAAGAAAATACATATAATAGAGAACAACAAGCAACCAAGATTTAACAATATTTAGTCAGTAATTAAAAATCATTCAATTTTACTCCAAAAAAGTATGAGTTAGAGAATGGTAGCATGAATTACAGTAATACCCCGAACTTACGCAATAGGTGGGACCGAGCGATAACCGCGTAAGTCGGGGTATAATTTCGCAATTTGTGTAAAATCCAAGTCGGATGTATGTAAGCTAATAAATGTTCTCGTTAATCTTATCTCGTGTTTTGAATCAAAAGACGAAATAAGATTAACGAGTTCACGGTTACAAGAAATCACAACATAGAGTCTCTGAAGGCTCCGTAGATATAACAAACACAGAAATAAATAACACACAAAAAATTGTAGCTATGTGTCGATTCCGCGGGACACGTCCGAACATGTAAGCTGAACAATAGTGTGGGAGAGTGAGTAATCAAGAGTTGCGTGGTGCACTCAAACAAAAGACGAATCAACGAGATTTGAAAATCGCGTAACTCCGGGTTCGCGTAAGTCGCGATATTACTGTATTTTTAAGTGTTCTTTAAACCAATTAAAAATCTGGCAATCCTAGCTATAGATAACATTGGTAAGGATAATGAAAAAATTATAAAAGAATTATTTGAATTTCAGACATTTTTCAACGAATAAAACGAAAAGAATTTAACAAAACTCTTAAAATACATGAGATATCAACTTTACTTAACGAAAATCTAATCGAAATAATAACTAAAATACTAACTTCTATGGATAATTTCCAAAAAAACACGATAGAGAAGCATATACATATTACCTGGGATACCATTAAAAAACTAATCTTCGAAATGGATGATGAAATTTTACAATGAAAACTTATGAAGAATATCAAAATATAAAAATTTCTTATATTTTCATCTCACCAACAGACTCAGAATAGCGTCAAAAAAATTTCTTCAACTGTCATTTACATATTTCGTAATAAGAAGTTATATAACGAAATGAATTCGAGACACTGAATAGAAATAAGATAAATATTTAGACTGATGTCTGTTACAAAAAGTAAGATCTTGGTACTTTTTCTACAGTTTTTAATCATCATACCGATGCATTATCTAAAAAGTTTCCATAAATGAACTTAACACAACAAGTGTTTTTGGAACATGGATTTGTTAATTGTTAAGGAAATCATTGTAAAATTTGCATAGCTATTATCAAGCAAAAATGAACAGTCCCATTAAGAAGAAAGGCATAAATATTTCAACAGATACCTGTGAAATCATTAATGGAAAACAGGCTCTGCAGTTTATATTAATGAACGTTTAAGTTCGCTAAATAGGAAAATATTTTTAAAACTCTGACATCTTAAAAAAATCCAGCAACGAGTTGCTTAACTTTTCCGGCAACATTTAAAACTGCATGTGCGGCAATATCTGTTATGATATTCTATTAAAAAACTTTTACGTTTTTAATTATTATAAAATGGCGTAATAAAAGACTGGCATAATGTTATTTTTAATAAAATGCGTCTAAACTCTTACGAATAGGCAAAGAAAGAACAAAAACGACGTTCGATTAAACGTCGTCGACTCAACTATTCATTTCTGCCTGCAAATCAACTCTGAATTTCTGCTCTGCGAATCAACATGATTATTTAAACCTTTTCAGATAAACCAAGGCCACGTGACAAGGGAACATACAGACAAGTGTTAATTAACATTAGTATCTATATATATAAGCCATTCAATGTCTTATTTCGTTTAACAATATTGCAGACAGCGCCACTTCCCGTTGGTTGTGGGTTTTTGAACTAGTTTTTTTTCGCGGGAAATAAAATTCCACGACGT